TAACTTGTTCATATAATTACAAACACTCAATACGAACTCATTAATTCCTTTTAATATGAACTCAGGTACAACTATTTACCTAATCAAAGAGACACAACTCTGTCCTACCTTTTCACTCAGTATCCATACATGTATACCAAACAGTAATAAATTCAATTGTTATGTTTTGAAACAAGATGTATATGAATCATTATTTCTCCTTTCTTGTCTAACGTCAAGAGTTTTTGATCTCCATAAAATAAATAATAGGGAAAGAGGCCGAATTTGGAAAGTACATCTGGGGGTGGCCTTGTGCCAGCTTTATCCCCAGAGAGAGAAATTAACCAATTATGTTCTGCGTCCCTACAATATCTTCAATAGCTTTGGACATGGTGGTAAAGAAAGAAGTATTATGGATAACTAATTTATTATTTAAATTTTGTTGATAGGGTGTTAGAGGCTAGGCTTATGAATTTAGTTAAAAGGGTTTTAGAGGCTGGGCTTATGAATTTTGTTGATAGAGTGTTATAGGCGAGGCTTATGAATTTTAGTTAATAGGGTGTTAGAGGCTAGGATTATGAATTTAGTTAAAAGGGTTTTAGAGGCTAGGCTTATGAATTTTGTTGATAGGGTGTTATAGGCGAGGCTTATGAATTTAGTTAAAAGGGTGTTAGAGGCTAGGATCATGAATTTTGTTGATAGGGTCTAAGAGGCTAGGATTATAAAGTTTGTGTTGTTGTTGCTAGAAGTGTTACCGGTAAAATCTAGTTTATGAGATTCGAGGTCTTTGCTCATTTTGTAGCTTCTGGGGTGAAATGATATGAAGCAGTCTAAATGTTTTGTTAGTCTATTTCTCTTCTTCACCCAGGGTATTTTGGGCTTCCATATTTTAAGGGCTCTCGGGTAGAATCCTATGACTACTTCTGATTTTAGTTTTTGACTGTAGCGAGAAAAGATATTAATTAGTTCATTTTTTGTCAGTGGGTTTATTTCCAAGAAATTCTAAAATCTAATTTCTTATTGTTAAGTATTATTAAGATGCTAAGGAAAAATAGAGATTTGTCTACTTTTAATTCATGTGTCAATTCCATGGTAGGTTTAATCTTATTAAGATTCATTATTATATTTAATAGATTTATATTGTGAGGTTATAAGAAAATAACATAATCTATATTATATCTTAGGTAAGTAGAGTTTGTAGGTATAAAATGTGTTTAACTTGGGTCGGATTTTAAACATTGTAGAAAAAGTACAAGGAAAGACATGTTTTTATAAAATTCTTGCTTTTATCTGTTTTGCATAATTTAAACTAAAAAAAGTGTTTTAAGAAATTTCATGTGAAAATTCGTTCACAATTTTTGTTTTATTTATTTTTCAAATGTTTACACCAAAATAATAAAAAACAGAAAAAGAGCAAATAGTTAATATGTTAAATATATATCTATATCTGTCTATCTATTTGCCTATCAAATTTTCCTATCAGTCAGTCTGTTACCAATTATAGGCATTTAAGAATATTTGTGGAAAAATGCTGCCTAAATATACACACACAATATATATATATATATATATATATATATATATATATATATTAATTGAATTTGTTGAATTAAAATTTTGTCCATAATTGTGTTAAAATATTTTCAGAATTAGTTTAGAAAAGTTCATTTTAAAGAAATAGTCTTATATTCAGTAGTGTACCAAGTGAAGTGCCTGGAGTGGGGTGTCAGTTTCGCTTTGAAATATGGCGTTTCACCTATTTTGAATAATAATATAAATATTTCCTGGTACCCATTTACATTTTCTTTTGATCAAGTTTTCTTCAATACTAAAATTCACACAATACAAGGCTCAAGAGACACTCAAGAGAGAGGGTTACTGTTAAAATGATGATGAATGGCCCGCGAGATATGTGAATGTATAACGTAGGAAGTGAAGATTATGAGGATAAGGAGGATAGATAAAAATTGACCCTTGACTCAAAGACTATTAGATCAGAGGAATCATTTTTAAAGCAACTAACATATCGGAGTGGTGGGTCCTTTAATCTTTTCACAAAAGTACATATGAAATTTTCCAATGAAATAGGAATTAAAAATTCAAATAATAACTTAGCCCGTGTTTGCCTTTGTTTGACTAATACAGAGAGTAAGATGTCAGTATTTTCTGACTCATTCACACACTTGCCCAACTCCAGGGAGGTCTTATAACCTATCAGTCTAGAAACATCTTCACGTACCGAGGTCTTATGACCTATCAGTCTAGAAGCATCTTCACGTACCGAGGTCTTATAACCTATCAGTCTAGAAGCATCTTCCCGTACCGAGGTCTTATAACCTATCAGTCTAGAAGCATCTTCACGTACCGAGGTCTTATAACCTATCAGTCTAGAAGCATCTTCACGTACCGAGGTCTTATAACCTATCAGTCTAGAAGCATCTTCACGTACCGAGGTCTTATTACCTATCAGTCTAGAAGCATCTTCACGTACCGAGGTCTTATAACCTATCAGTCTAGAAGCATCTTCACGTACCGAGGTCTTATAACTATCAGTCTAGAAGCATCTTCACGTACCGAGGTCTTATAACCTATCAGTTTAGAAGCATCTTCACGTACCGAGGTCTTATGACCTATCAGTCTAGAAGCATCTTCACGTTCCGAGGTCTTATAACCTATCAGTCTAGAAGCATCTTCCCGTACCGAGGTCTTATAACCTATCAGTCTAGAAGCATCTTCCCGTACCGAGGTTTTATAACCTATCAGTATAGAAGCATCTTCACGTACCGAGGTCTTATAACCTATCAGTCTAGAAGCATCTTCCCGTACCGAGGTCTTATAACCTATCAGTCTAGAAGCATCTTCCCGTACCGAGGTCTTATAACCTATCAGTCTAGAAGCATCTTCACGTACCGAGGTCTTATAACCTATCAGTCTAGAAGCATCTTCACGTACCGAGGTCTTATAACCTATCAGTCTAGAAGCATCTTCACGTACCGAGGTCTTATTACCTATCAGTCTAGAAGCATCTTCACGTACCGAGGTCTTATAACCTATCAGTCTAGAAGCATCTTCACGTACCGAGGTCTTATAACCTATCAGTCTAGAAGCATCTTCACGTACCGAGGTCTTATAACCTATCAGTTTAGAAGCATCTTCACGTACCGAGGTCTTATGACCTATCAGTCTAGAAGCATCTTCACGTTCCGAGGTCTTATAACCTATCAGTCTAGAAGCATCTTCCCGTACCGAGGTCTTATAACCTATCAGTCTAGAAGCATCTTCCCGTACCGAGGTTTTATAACCTATCAGTTTAGAAGCATCTTCACGTACCGAGGTCTTATAACCTATCAGTCTAGAAGCATCTTCCCGTACCGAGGTCTTATAACCTATCAGTCTAGAAGCATCTTCCCGTACCGAGGTCTTATAACCTATCAGTCTAGAAGCATCTTCCCGTACCGAGGTCTTATAACCTATCAGTCTAGAAGCATCTTCACGTACCGAGGTCTTATAACCTATCAGTCAAGAAGCATCTTCACGTATCGAGGTCTTATAACCTATCAGTTTAGAAGCATCGTCCCGTACCGAGGTCTTATAACCTATCAGTCTAGAAGCATCTTCCCGTACCGAGGTCTTATAACCTATCAGTCTAGAAGCATCTTCCCGTACCGAGGTCTTATAACCTATCAGTTTAGAAGCATCTTCACGTACCGAGGTCTTATAACCTATCAGTCTAGAAGCATCTTCACGTACCGAGGTCTTATAACCTATCAGTCTAGAAGCATCTTCCCGTACCGAGGTCTTATAACCTATCAGTCTAGAAGCATCTTCCCTTACCGAGGTCTTATAACCTATCAGTCTAGAAGCATCTTCACGTACCGAGGTCTTATAACCTATCAGTTTAGAAGCATCTTCACGTACCGAGGTCTTATAACCTATCAGTCTAGAAGCATCTTCACGTATCGAGGTCTTATAACCTATCAGTTTAGAAGCATCTTCCCGTACCGAGGTCTTATAACCTATCAGTCTAGAAGCATCTTCACGTACCGAGGTCTTATAACCTATCAGTCTAGAAGCATCTTCACGTACCGAGGTCTTATAACCTATCAGTCTAGAAGCATCTTCCCGTACCGAGGTCTTATAACCTATCAGTCTAGAAGCATCTTCCCTTACCTATCAGTCTAGAAGTCTTATAACCTATCAGTCTAGAAGCATCTTCACGTACCGAGGTCTTATAACCTATCAGTCTAGAAGCATCTTCACGTATCGAGGTCTTATAACCTATCAGTTTAGAAGCATCTTCCCGTACCGAGGTCTTATAACCTATCAGTCTAGAAGCATCTTCACGTACCGAGGTCTTATAACCTATCAGTCTAGAAGCATCTTCACGTGCCGAGGTCTTATAACCTATCAGTCTAGAAGCATCTTCCCTTACCGAGGTCTTATAACCTATCAGTCTAGAAGCATCTTCACGTACCGAGGTCTTATAACCTATCAGTCTAGAAGCATCTTCACGTATCGAGGTCTTATAACCTATCAGTTTAGAAGCATCTTCCCGTACCGAGGTCTTATAACCTATCAGTCTAGAAGCATCTTCACGTACCGAGGTCTTATAACCTATCTGTCTAGAAGCATCTTCACGTATCGAGGTCTTATAACCTATCAGTTTAGAAGCATCTTCACGTACCAAGGTCTTATGACCTATCAGTCTAGAAGCATCTTCACGTACCAAGGTCTTCTGTTAGTATGAGTAGTGAAATTGTATTAATTGCTTGCTTACTAGGCCTGTCGAGTAACTTACATAACAGCACCTGGTGTTCCACTGCGGTCATCCATTTAAGTTTTGATCAATTCAACTTTGCTTAATTTTGGTCATTCAGTGAGAAGCGGTGTTTCAACGTGATAGGGCCATAAGTAAAATTTTCTTGACTGTTTCTAATAATGCAAATACAGGAATGCACATGGTTGTGGTCAAAACAATTCTTGAAACTGATAACAGAACTGTGCACCCACCTCGCTATGTCATGTTGTTTGTTACGTGGTCACCTTTTTGTTCGCCCAGTTTTTGCCTACACCTTTCCCCGAAGAAATCCTTGCCTTTTTCCTTTGATTCTGTTATGCGACCTTACCCATAATAACATAAAGGACTATTCCATACGTAATAAATACTGCGCCTCAAGAGGAAGCAGAGAGTTCAGCCCGAAGTCGGGCGACCGGCTGATCGGTTGAACTCTCTGCCTTCGGGCGGGGTGGAACCCGAACGAGGCTACGCCGAAGGGCGGAGTCTCGTTCGGGGAGGTAAACCGACCAAGAACCCGTTTATACGGGTTCAAAGGGCATATTTTTGGACGAGCCCACGGGCTCGGAGATCACACGTTAAACCGGCCTTGTGCCTCATGATGCCCTCGTGAGGGGGTGACTAAATATTGTTCAATCTGAAGTCTGGAGTGATGTCCGTTAGGAGTCTGTCAGTCAGAGGGAGTTAGTCAGTCGAGTCAGAGGCAGTCCAAAACAGAGTCGCGTTCAGACAATTACTACTAAACCTGATTGTTCGGACTAACACTTTCTACTTCTCTGTATATATTCCTGTTTGTAATATTTCTGTGTTATTTCATATCCGTATTCGAGTTCTTCTTTATTGGTTCTACCCTGGACTATCACCGTGGTACAAAGAACCGGACCATAACAGATTCTTTCACTTGAATCTATTTCATTTATTTCGATTAAAAAAAAACAAGTCCAGAATATAGAATTGCACCCCCGACCCTCGCTACGGTGCACCCAGTTTTTTATATAGATATCCACATATTTTTTTTAATTCTTTCTGTTGAATATATTTCCTTTATTTTAATTAATATACATATCCAGAATACAGAATTTTGAACCCCCACCCATATCCGTCATGGTGATTGTTACATGGTCACAGAATAGAGAATTGTGCCCCACAACACTCAACTATGGCATGTTGCCTGATACGCGGCAAAATTTTCGTTCATCCCACTTTGTCTACACCTTTTTCAAGAACAAATCCTTAACTTTCAACTTTGATTCTTTCTGTTGAATCACTTTCATATATTGTCATTAACAACCATGTCCAGAATATAGAATTGTCTGTCCCCACCCTGCTATGGCATGGTGCTTGATACGTGGTCACCTCTGGATTTACACAGTTTTGACTACACCTTTCCACAATGAATCCCTTGACATTTTCTTTGATTCTTTCCGCTGATTCTATTTCTTTTATTTTGATTAAAAATCCCATATCCAGAATATATATATATATATATATATATATATATATATATATATATATATATGTGTGTGTGTGTGTGTGTGTGTGTGCATAAAATGTTGTGTTTAATCTATCTATCTATCTATCTATCTACTAAGCCAGCTTTTTTACTCATGTTTTGAAGGCAAAGTATTGAATAATTTATCGAAGAACCAATCGAAAGATTTGAACAACAACAATAATAATAATAATAATATTCATAATATTAATAATAATAACAACGCTGCTACGATTATTGTTGTTGTTTGCCCCTGGATTTGTCTTTTAAAATTATGTAAAGCCATAAACAATTACCAAATCTCTGATGTTTCTGTAGATTTGTTTAAAAGCAAAAAAAATGAAAATGTTTTTCAATAAATATAAAATTTGAATCCATTTGGAACTTTAAAAAATTCACAAAGACAAGCATAAAAATTCAGAAAATGCTTAAATATTAATTAATGAAGGTAATTTAAGTTCTACTTCATTGAAGTTCAACTTTAGAATCTATTTAATAGGAATTAAAAACGAAATATTTTGAACGTAATAAAGAAATGACGCAAATGTTTGTTATAATAATAAGTTTATAGAAATTTAATAGTGTGTCATTTAGTCTGTGTGGCTTAGTGAGTATTATTGTGTTTTTCAAGCTAATAATAATAATAGTAAATTTTTAGAAATAAAAAATTAGGTCAATTCTTTGACGAATTGATTACGAAAACGAAATTATGATTGAGACGAGAAATAACAAAATGATTATAGAAACTTTATACAAATCTAGGCATCACTACGGAATATATATATATATCATTTATAATATATATATATATATATATATATATATATATATGAAATATAACCTGTAGAAAAGACAATATCTCTATCTATATATATGAAATATGACTGTAGAAAAGACAATATCTCTATCTATAAAAGGCAAGATGTGTGTGTGTGTGTGTGTGTAACGAATGCACGGTCGCAATTTTAGACGGATTTGCACCAAAATTTACATGCACATGCTCCAAGTTAGTGGGAAGGCCAAGACCGACTTTGCATTTCCCAACTCCCATCGATAGTGGAAATAATCGATTTTTTCATGCTTCTGCGGCAGTTTTCATGTAGTTTGAGGCCATTTTCTACTGGCCAGAGTGAGAGCCTATAGCTGGCTGCCACGAATAGGCAGGAATATTCTATTGGCCAGCGTGAGAGCCAACAGCTGACTGACACGAATGTTAACTAGCATGCTAGCATGCAAAAAAATCGATAGCTGCATTCTTCACAAGTGGGAAAAATTTAAATCTGCATGGCACTTTACTCCAATTGGCTCATTCGCTTGCTTAAACTCAACGTTGATTCTGATCCCGCAGAACTGTGTTCGGTGTGAAAAGGTATTTGTTGTTAACATTCTTTTTTCATTCGGTTTTTCCAGTTACGAGTCCTTTTTTAAAGGTGATCGTTTTGTGTTCATTTTGTTTAGTTCTTTTTTGTAACTGATTTAATGTTTAGTATAGAGCTTAGAAAAAATTCGCAGTGTGAGATAGGCAAGAAGTAAGGCATGTAACAACATCAGCACGGCAAAGGGCACTTCTTTAAAGGCAAAAATATTTTAAGTCAAGTGATAGCGATTGCTGTATGAGTCGTACGATTTTTGAATCAAGCACGGGCAACGCCGGGCCATGCTGCTAGTTTATAAATATAAATGACAATAGGAAAACTGTAATAGTTGCCGACGCGTTTCGTCCAATGTGGATTTTCTCAAGGTAAAAAACGAAATGAATCTATTTAAACAAAGTAACTAATAATAACAAAAACAAAATGTCCTTAGCAACTGGAAGAATTTAGAGAACGCTATTTTCATACTGTTAACTGAAAATTACGTCAATTACTGTCACGTGAGGAGATATTGTTATTATTGCTGTGTTGACGGATTCAACCATTTTCTTTTGATTTCACGATATTGTTGTGTACGTTTGTTTGGGAGAGTAGTAATTCTGTTAAGAAAGGTGAAATAGGGAAAAAGTTTGGGCGTACATTAATATTTGGGTAATATTCAATGGCAGCACTCTCCAGGATTTTCCTTCTGAGTGAGTTATCTTCTTTTTTTATGAGTGTAGCAAGTAGAAATTTAAAAAAAACGCATTTATGAGCACAGAGACCTCACAAAAAAACAACTTAGCTAATGCACTTGTCATACATAGAAATAAATTCAACCACAATTTTGATTTTAAAACGAAAAAGGAAAACAAAATTAACAAGTAGCTCCTAATCTCTGACACATCAAACAGATAATCACTTATCGTCACAGTTTTATAATTTCGTTTTCTTTTTAATCTTTTTAACTGATGATGTCACCTTTTAAGTGACACCTTAGTTTCGAAAGCCATTGTCAGTGATGATTTCAATCAAATTCCTTTACCATTCAAACTGTAATGACATTAAAGTATCCCCAAAGAATAGCCATAGCTCAGGTTTAAAAAATATTTTTAAAAAATGCAGCTTTTTTATTGAAACTTTTATTTTTGTTTTAATTTCAAGATAATAGATTCAATTTAATATTTCCAGTAATCAAAATGATTTTCTCTATTTGAAACTGAATTTAAATTGAATGGAATGAGTTTTTTATTATCAGTAAAAACGCTAAAACCTGTTATATTTACATATCTGTCAACACAACATAATTTCTCTGTATTAATAGTCTTTCAAAAATGTACTTTTGTGAAACTTTATTTGAGAAAGATTAGTTGATTTAAAGTTTAATCAACGTGATTTGAAACAAATATTATTTTTAGTTTAAAATATCGCAGACAAAGTTTTTTTTAAACACGTAGGTGTGTGTATTTAAGAGATATTGACAACTCTCTTGACAGATTTATGTTTGAGAATTTTTTAGTATGGGGGACAGGTACTATAATAATTACTTGACGAATATAACTTTAACACCTTGTCTATAATGCTTTAACTACCCAGTAATCTTTAAAATTTAGATTAATATTATATGAAATCTAATATTTCTAAAACTTTAACGTTTTTATTAAGTTTGTGGGATGTTTTCATCATCTATTTTTTATTTATTAAATTCATTTCTCCACATGCAAGGCGATAATGCCACTAAGATGCAATGGGTTATTGGAAGTGAAAGGGAATGAGTCTTTAGAAGAAGAAACCGGAAATCCAATCTTAAACAGGAAACAAGGGTTAAAATACTACTCTTGTTCAATGGAAGTGAAAGGAGTGTGAACTGGGCGATCTACTAGACTCATTTTTTGCGATATGCTAATTTTTGTATTTTTTTTTTCCATTTCGCCGTAAAAAGTTTTGTACAAATTTCAGAAAAAAATCTGAAGGTGTTTTAAGGATTTTTGTTTCTAGAAAAAATTGTTTATCGTAAATATGAAGGAAAATCTTTAATTGAAATTTTCAAAATTAATCTGTACCCCAAAAAACTTAAAAAAATTTTCTTTACGAAGCAGTTTTGATATTTTTCAAAATCTGTCAATAAATATAATTTATTTCTAACGATGATTTGTTCGTTTGTATTTTTTTAATTTTAAAATGAAAATGTAAATTTGGTGAGAATAAAATTCTTTTGATTGCTAATTTCTGGATTTTATTGCAGGTTTTTTTCGACAATTAAAATTCTAATGTCAGTCAAATAAACATAGAAAAAAATTTTTTTTATTCCCCTCACATCTTTTACCTTTTCTATTTTTCTTTTTTCTTTCTTTTTATTTACGTCTTCTTTCTCTCTCTCTCTCTCTCTCTCTCTCTCTCTCTCTCTCTCTTTCAATTTGTCTTTCTTTTTCTCGTTTTTCTATTTCTTTTACATTCTTTTTTCTTTCTTTTTGTTTACTTTCTCTCTCGCTCTCTCCTCCCCCCCACTCTCTCTCTATCTCTTGCTTTCAATTGGTCTCTTTCTTTTTCTCGTTTTTCTTTTTCTTTCTTTCTCTTTCACGCGCATCACCCACCCACCCAATGTCAGGTTTTCTATCCTTTACCCCTCACACTCTCTGTCTTTTTTCTTCTTTCCTTCACCTGAAGATGGAGTCACGGAAAAAATCGCGTTTCTTTCTTCGCTTCTCAAAATAAACATTTAATTTTTATGTAATTAGTTTTTTTTAAAGATTTTTTGAAAATATTAAGCGGTTAAGGGGAAGTAACTGATGAATTCTTCTCATTATTTCCCTTAGATTATAGCCCCCCCGCTTCCACTATTTTTTCCTTTAATTTTCTTTTTTCTTTTCATTTTCATAGATAGATAGATAGATAGATAGATAGATAGATAGATAGATAGATTGATAGATAGATAGATATCTTTGCCGTCAATTAATCCGAACTGAAATATCCCCGTTCTCCCAATATTGAATCCTACTTAAATAATCCTTGTCTTCTTTTGTCCTTTCTTCGTTCTTTTCCATTTGTCGCAGAAGAAAGCTTCGTCTTGAGATTCTTCCATTTCATTTCTGTAACCAATTTTGTCCAAAGGTCATTGCATTAAAACGCCCTTCCTCACAAATATGGCGACTGGAATTCTCTCAGCAGTTCTTAATATTTGACAAGCAGAGGCAACCACACGTGAAATGTATGACCAAGAAACTTTCTAAGTAAATTGTTTTATGTATGTCCCTAATTGTTGTGGACGTTTCGATCAGTTTAATTTAAGACTTCCTCAGATGAGAAGCTTCCATACAATATGGAATGATGGACTGGCTGAGTCAGGACGGGTGGGGTCTAATGAGCTTCGAGCACCACCCTCGACAGCGGAAAGCCATCTTGGAAGCCAGGAAGCTTGTCGTAACGTGTCTCACTTCAAGTTTGAATTCTCTTTTGTCCATTGTATCTGCTTTTCACCCTGTTCATATATTTCTTCTTCACATTTGGGTCATTCTTAAGAGTTTGTCGTATTGCAATATAGGTTTACTTTTTTAAATGTCTTCAATTTACGTGGCTTTTACTTTGAATGGCACATATCACTGGAAGGTGGTCGCTCCCGCAGTCAGCACTTGCATATGTTTTGCAGTGTAAAACTGCATTCCTGAATTTCTTATTGATAGTTATTTAGTCGATTTGGTTGTTCGTTTCTTTTCCTCGCCTTCTGCGTGTCTATGTATGTCTTCGTGAAAGCAGGTGTTGGCTACTGCCTTATTGTTCACCGTACACCATTCGACCTATTTGTCTCCGCTTTCATCACGAGGTCCAAGTCTGAATTTGCCAACTATTTCCCCATCGCTTTCCTTTCCTACTTTGGTATTCAGGTTTCCGATGCCAACTGTAATTTCTTGTGATTTGCAATGAATCTTGCAACTCGTCTAGCGTATAGGAAAACTTTTCAATTTCTTCTTCTATACTTTGTACTGTCGATGCATCTATAAATATATATATTAAGTCTATTGCAATTAACTCCTCGCCCGGTAAGGGTAGACATGAGCGACAGGTATCAGTGGACCGTCACTCAGAGATTGTTAGCATAAACCGAGTAAATGGGGGGGTTACAACTTTGGAATTGTAAGGTAAGGCATGAGCAACAGGAATCAGTGATTGTTCGCATCAAACAAAAAATAATTCTCTGGACATGAAATATAAGAACATTAGATTAATGTGGCCAGTTAGATAATATAAAACAGGAAAACATCTTAAATGTTAATATTGTAGGACTTTCTCAAACGAGGTGGGCTAACAATTGAGATTTCGTCAGTGACAAACACAAGATCATATAAACAGTAGGGTGGGAAAAATGAAAGAGGTGTAGGACTGATATGAAGAAAAATGTTTGGAATGCTGTCAATAATCTGAAAGATTTCTTGTTGTATCAAACTTCCATTGTCCATAACGAAGTTACAGTTAAAGCTATATTTTATATGAATACAACTTTATCAAAATTAAAATGTAGTAGATTGGGGGAGGGGGCTCGTATCATAGACTTTGGGCCGAGATCTGGAGACGAGTGTGATGGGATTTTTCATATTTATATTTTTGGGGGCACTTGTTTCGATAGTTCAATAGTGACTGAGTGCTCGACATTATTGGCCTTGTGCCATATCTAAGTTATTCTTAGTAAATCAACATATTTGTCTTGTTTGCCTCCTGCCTAAAAATCTTAATCACAAACGGTGTCAGTTCTTAAAATGAATTCTGCAGAATAAGGAACCAAATTGAAATTCAGTTTTGTCAAATTGCAAATGAAGTTGCAAAGGATTTAGAATTATCATATGGATGTTTTTTCAAAAGGTTTTTACCAATGCTACTGAGATTGCTAAGGAACTGGAGACAATATTTTGGAAAAGAACAAAATTGGAAGAACAATTTGGAAAAAATGAGAAAGCAACAATAATTCTGAATCTAAGGAGACAAGATTCAAAATCGAAATTCAAAGTAGCTTTTTACTTTGCTGTTTTAGACCTGACGATAGAATCTGTTGAAAAATGATTCCAACAGAAACAACAATTCATTATTCCATTTCCTCTTTGATATTTTAGAGTAGAAAAGAAAACTCTTTTGTACATCGACGTAACGAAGCACTGTAAAAGTTTGGGAAAAAAAAATATTAGCGGAATCAAGGGATTCGTGAAAAGTGGAATCGTTAAGCTGAATTGAAATTCCGGCCTCGTCTATTGCCGTCGCTTCCCACTTGCGAAAGGCATGAACCCATCAATTCTCCCACGAGGTATATAGTAGGATAGACTGGCATCTTTAGCTTTGGATGGCAATTCACAGATATTAAAAAAGGAATCCGTGGAGAGCCACAACCACCAACAATTAAATTAGGTACCTCCACGAGATCGTGGAGGTACCTAAATTAAATGGATAGTTTGGAATTATGAAAAATGAACTCAAAATAAATTTGCTTCAGGAATAAAATACGAAGCATGGTGAGTTTGAAATAGACGGACAGGGTTAAAAAAATAAACGTGTAGTCTGGAATACCGGGGAGGTATGTTGAAAAAAAGAAATCGGAATTTGAAGGGCCTTGCACTTCCGTTTTATTCCGGATGTGAATGTAAGGTCAAAAGTTACAAAGGTCAAATGTTACAAAAGTTACAAAGTAACAGAAAAAGTATCATTATCTGTTATAATATTAACATCCTATTATAATTGTGATTTTCCGTAACTTCCTTAGTTAGCACGACCGTTACGTCCTGTCAGTACCTCATAAATAATGGACTATTACGTGTTTTGATCGCGTGGAAAGAGAAGAAAAGACATAACTAGTTTCCGTTGAGAAAATGAAAGAAAGAAGAAAGAAGAGAGGATAAAAGTGAAGAGAATCGGATTAATCTGATAAGAACTGATACTACACCTTGATCATAGCCCCAAATTCTTGCAGTGATGGTGACAGCGATAAACGCGATATTTTTCAGTTGCACAGTATCGATCGACGGAAACTTTTACATTTTCATCCCTTCTTAAAATCTCAACAATCATTGTCGATAAATTACCTTTGACATTGTCTATTTTCTGTCATTGTTTGTACAATTCATAACTAGTTTTGTGTAATTTCGAGTGAGGCTCAAATAATAATAATAATAATAATGATCACATAGATCCTATCACTGTCGCATAATCAATGCTGGAGCTAACCTGAAATGGAAGATTATCGGAACATATGATAAAACTTTCAACCATATTATCTCAGGATATCCGGAACTGGCAAAAAATGAATATACTCACAGAGATAACAAGGTAGCGACATATATACACGGGAAGATATGCAAGAAGCACAAAATTAAAACCACTGAGAGATAGTATGACCATTAACCAGACACAGTTACCCAAAATAACGATGTAACTATCCTCTGGGACATGCCAATTCAAACTAACAGGGAAATAAAAGCCAACAGATCTGATATTGTCATAAAAGACAAGAAATTCAGCAAGTGTATGCTTATTGACATAGCAGTACCATCTGAGAGAAACACCTCCATAAAAATTATTGAGAAATTGTCCAAATACAAGGACTTCAAGATCGAGATTAACAGGATCTGGAGAATGAAGACTGAGACTGTACCAATAGTAATGGGAGCACTGGGCTTCGTGAGAAAAGGAATGGACAATTTTACTAACATTGTCCTAGGTAACATCAACATACAAGTTGTCCAGAAAATCCCCTATTAGGAACATCCCATATACTAAGAAAAGTGCTATCAATTTATTAATGGGAGGGGAAAAATAAAAAATGGTCTAGGAAAAAAAGGTGGGGAGGCTGACTCAGCCAAGATTAAAGGGGGGGACACAAACTGGTGGGTGGGGGGATGAGAATCTCGACGGGGGTCATGACAAAAGCGAACGCTGGGAAACAGGAGAGGAACAACATTTAGTCACATTAATTAGGAAAACAAATAGTGTCTAGCTTAACCAGGAGAGGGTACTCAGGAAGCCACTAGGTTGTGTCAAAGGGGTCTTAAAAAAAGAAAATGCGGACCAGGCTTGCCATAGTCACCCACCTTTCAGTGAAATCTGTCAATATCAAACGCTTATTATTAGATCTAATCTTCATCTTGAGCTGATGTCCAAAGAATCCGTTCAGATGCTGATAAGAACGTTCGTATCGCAAGATTCCCTCCATTCGCGACGTCCAAATAACCAGTCTAGCCACGGCTAGCAAAATGAAATACACCATCCGTTTCACCCCAGAATACTTAACTTCCACAAGTCAAGAAATACTGACAGCTCTATTTCAAACCGGTTAGCCAACTCTAGATCCACTGTACAGTCTGTTAGAAAGAAGTTTAAACAGTTTGGCACGACAGAGAATTTGTATGGGCGTGGACACAAACCCAAATTGTCACCGAAAACTGCACGAAAACTGTCGCGAGTTCAATATAAACCCAAATCTTGTTTTGAAAGACATCGTCAAAGTTTGGATACGATGGGTATCAGCATAATAAAACATTGTTTAAATAGAAATGGGTTGTAGAAAAATCGACCACGACGAACCCCTCTTCACAAACCCTGTCACATTTTTCCTCGATTTAATTTTGCCAAAACGTTCTTGGACAAAGATCATTGCTTTTGGAAGCAAGTACCCTGGAGTGAGGAAACAAAAATTGAACTTTTTGGACATAACGTTGTAAAGAAGATTTGGCGCAAGA